GAAAGAATGGGAGGGGATGAACAGAGGGGAGTTGTAAGTGGGATAAGTTGTCTACATGTGTGTGTGTAGGGGGAAGTATAGGGTGTGTGGGGTTAAAGTCACAGATTTTAAATCAGTTCTTTGGCCTTTAACGGGCGCAACAGAAGCCCAGTATGAGAGAGCAGAACAAAGAGGGCAGCACTGCCCTCGACCAATTAACATTCCTGCAGCCTTTATGAGCCGCCTGGACCCGCCCCTTCACTCACACCTCATAAAAGTCACAAACATCAATTCTTGCAAACCATAACTGTCATTATAATCCCATTAAAAACAAACCACTGAGCAATTTACAGTGAACACCAGGGCCACGTTTGCCAGGAGTGGGGAAGGATTGTCCCTGCTGGAACACAAATGGGACTAAACAAGTGGGAAAGTTTATTGGGAGTAATTTGACAAAATATGACATGATAGACTCCACAACTGAAGCAAAAGGGGCTAAAGCGCTATTTCTTCATCCTCCTTTGAACGTAATTGGTCTTGGCAAACACCGAGGTGACCATGCAGTGCAGATGTCACAAGTTTAAAGCTGAATCAATCAATTTGGACACGTTTAGAGCAGAAAAAGACCAAAACAAGCTGCTAAATACAAGCTAAAATGCCCTTGTGATGCATTTTAGGTCCAGCATCCTCTCTGTTTTACTGCTGTCATTGTTCCGCTGTGTTTATCGACTTTTGAGAAAAATCATCTCTCTCTTTGGCTGCTAAATTGTCCGGCTTGTCCTGTGAAATTAAAACCAAAACAACAAGCTAAAGGAGACTAAAACACTCATTAATGATTCCAGGAGCCATAAATAAAGACTTCTAAAAATACAAAGCAGCTAATTTTTTTCTTTACCATGTACAGAAAGTAGTAGTAGCACAGATCTATAACCTGCTAAAGTCAGGTGGTTTATCCATAAGGCCTTTAAATGGATAACACAACAACAAAAATGGTGCTTTTAAAGCCAAAATAACAGGATTAAAGAGACTAAAAGGTTTTCTGGATCCATGAAACACCTGTTCATGCTCAGCTCAAGGCAGAGAAAGCCTACATTTAAAACAAAATGCTAACTTGTTAATGGTGTTAACTATGACAATGCAGAAACCCATTATCAGGCTTCAGAAGGGAAAAATTACACTGAGACTTTGGGAAGACAAAATTCCGAGATTATTCCAACCATCCATTTTAATCCGCTTATCCAACTCGTGGGTATGAGATCATTTATAAATACAATTTTTGATCAAGTAAATTAAAATTATATCTTATCTGTAACATACAGCAGTGAAAAAAATCACTAAAAACTTGTATTTGTGTTGTTTTTCTGTTACCTGAAGAATTCTTGAGGCGAGGATCATTTTCAAGGAAAGTAACAGTTTAGTTTAAACTTGTAATATTGCAGTGTTTATAATAATATTGTATCTTTTCCTGTAGACAAGCAAAATTATTCTATTCTAAACGTTATCTTTATTCTACATTGACTTACTGACAGTGATGAAATTGCTTGCAGCTTCATTTCTGACTTCCACAACTTTGCAGAGGTAAAACAAAGATTTATCAACTACACTGAAATATCTTATATTGTGTGGTGTTTTTATGACGTGTTGCTCCTCCTGCACACACAGGTGGCACAGCTAGTAAGGTGAAACATGAGTGGCGATGCTGTAGTCAGTCTGATCCTGTGTGACCCACTTTGACCTCAACCTTAACGAGCTGTTGGACTCATTGTAAAGAGTTTGACTCCCTCTAGTGGCCGTGTCGCTTTTTTACAAGTGTTTAAAGGAGCCTGCGTCACCTTCCTGTGCAGTGTGCCTTTAGCCTGAGGTGGAGTCTTACCCAGGCGCAGGGGACATTCAGAGAATTAACTGCTTTCTGGTTATTTTTCATTGGTGATAAACGCAAATAAATAAATAAATAAAACCTCCATGCTCTCTTTTTATTTCTGTGCTATTTGTTTATTTAATTGCAAGCAGGATAAAAAAATACATTCTTCAGTTTTTTATACAAATTTTTGAATCCCAGTGCTTATTGTGAACGTAGATTGTGACTTGTTAAATGCAACCATTAGTGTTGTGTATGTAAGCAAACTCACAAAGCAACGTTACGATTAAAATTCAAGTCAAAGGTCATTATATATATTTAACATTTATTAAGAGATTTCTATTATGCTTTAGTCAGCAAGCCGTGATCCCGTCTCCCTTTAATAAAGTCATATTTACAGACACGTTTCTGTCAGTGACATGAGCACTACTCTTCCTCAAAGAAGTCATCGGTGTAAAATGTCACTGACATCCCACGCAGATGGTGTTGTATTAAGTAACCAGCAGCCCAGGTGGTGATGATGAAGAGCGAAGAGGTTATGAGTTTTTGGCACCGACCATAACAACTGAAACATTCCTACTCTTCATTTCTCTGGACATCTGACACCAGCTGCAGGCGCAACAGAAAGTCGAAAGCACACAATCCCGACACATGGTGCCCTGCAGATAAAATACAGACACATTTGGTTAATAAACAGTCAATCTGATCAGTTTTTACATTAATATGGAAATAATGTTTCCTGTGAAAAGAGATGAATCAGGGTTTTTTGATGTGCGGTTACAGTTTGGTTGTGTTTTAGCAGTTTGAACTGAAAAATCTTGTATTTTTAACCTTTTGCTTTTCACTCTGTTGAATTGGTTTTGGAGTTATTGTTCCTTAAGGTGAGTTTTCTACAGTTCCTGATGATTATGCTGCAATACACTGTTTACCTTTACCAGACTGACCAACAAAAGTCATCAAAACCCAAAAAGTTTCATTGAATTGGCGAGCAATTGTACAATATTCCACTTTCTGACCTAAAAAAAAAAAGAAAACAGTGCCCATCTTTAGGGTTGAGCACCATCCAATCTATTTTCTAACTCTGCACATTTCAACATCCAGCTGTTTAATGGGATCATGAGCTGTTCCGAGACTATTTCATGCTTTTTATTTTCAAGTCATTCTGCTCAGGATCGTCTTTCCTCTGAGACACAGCTGACTTTTTTAATGTATTTTGGTTTAAAGTAGTTTTTTAAATGTAGTTTGGTGAATGCTCGGACTTCAGCACCTTAAGTGAACACACTTTAGATGGTTTTGTGAAATCGAATCCTTATTGTAGACTTGTGTAACATGCCTTTCTCCCGGAGAGTGCTCTTCACAAGGCTGGATCTGTTGAAGAGGCTTCTCTTTACCAACAAAAAGATTCAGCGATCATCCACCACTATTGTCTTTTTGGGGGGACGTCTAGGCGTGTTTATTTTCCTGAGTATGTTCTTTCTGTCTCTGAACGTAGCAAACTGTTTATTTGGCAGCTTCTAATGTTCTTGCTATCTGTCAGATGGATTTGTTTGGTTTTTGTAGCTTTACCTATTAACATCCACCAGGTCAGCAGTGACCTTTTCAAGATCATACCCAAACCGAAATCTGATACTAGAAGGACAAATGCAGGTTTCAGACTTGATTTGAAAGCAAATATATTCTAGTTTCTAAAACTCTG